GCTGTCCTCAGAGTGAGGAACGCTTTACTCAGAGTGAGGAACGCTGTCCTCAGAGTGAGGAACGCTGTCCTCAGGGTGAGGAATGTGTCCTCAGAGTGAGGAACGCTGTTTTCCGAGTGAGGAACGCTGTCCTCAGAGTGAGGAAACCTTTACTCAGAGTGAGGAACGTTGTCCTCAGAGTGAGGAACGCTGTCCTCAGAGTGAGGAACGCTTTCCTCAGAGTGAGGAATGCTGTCCTCAGAGTGAGGAACGCTGTCCTCAGAGTGAGGAACGCTGTCCTCAGAGTGAGGAAACGCTGTCCTCAGAGTGAGGAACGCTGCCCTCAGAGTGAGGAACGCTGTCGTCAGAGTGAGGAACCTTGTCCTCAGAGTGAGGAACCTTGTCTTCAGAGTGAGGAACCTTGTCCTCAGAGTGATGAACCTTGTCCTCAGAGTGAGGATCCTTGTCCTCAGATTGAGGAACCTTGTCCTCAGAGTGAGGAACCTTGTCCTCAGAGTGAGAAACCTTGTCCTCAGAGTGAGGAACGCTGTCCTCAGAGTGAGGAACCTTGTCCTCAGAGTGAGGAACCTTGTCCTCAGAGTGGGGAACCTTGTCCTCAGCGTGAGGAACCTTGTCCTCAGACTGAGGAACCTTGTCTCAGAGTGAGGAACATTGTCTCAGAGTGAGGACCTTTGTCCTCAGAGTGATAAACCTTGTCCTCATAGTGAGGAAGCGTGTCCTCAGAGTGAGGAACCTTGTCCTCAGAGTGAGGAACCTTGTCCTCAGAGTGAGGAACATTGTCTCAGAGTGAGGAACCTTGTCCTCAGAGTGAGGAGACTTGTCCTCAGAGTGAGGAACCTTGTCTCAGAGTGAGGAACCTTGTCCTAAGGGTAAGTAACCTTGTCTTCAGAGTGAGCAACCTTGTCCTGAAAGTGAGGAACCTTGTCCTCACAGTGAGTAGCCGTGCTCTCAGAGTGAGGAACCGTGTCCTCAGAGCGAGGAACCATGTCCTCAGAGTGAGGAACCTTGTCGTCAGAGTGAGGAAACTTGTCCTCAGAGTGAGGAACCTTGTCCTCAGTGTGAGGAACCTCGTCCTCAAAGTGAAGAACCTTGTCCTCGGGGTGAGGGACCTTGTCCTCAGAGTGAGGAACCTTGTCCTCGGGGTGAGGGACCTTGT